CATAAAAGCTTTTCTATTAGTTCTTATGGGAATTGTTTGTAATAATTTCTTATGATCAAAAAAAAGTATTGTAATTAAACGAGAAATTGGATTATTCAAGCTTTTAGAGAAAATAAGCTACATATAGTAAATATTTCAAAAATTAATATTTTTAAATTCTTACTAGAAAGTGTGTATTAGTGCTTCGCACTATCGAATAAAAATATCGGTTTATTCCACAGTTCTAAAAAAAAACATTCATTTGATAATTGTAAGAAAAACACTCATTCGAGTTTTTCCTAACTGCGTTAAAAATTGGAATTTTTTTTTTAAATACATTTTTCAGACAGAATTTACCAACCGATTTTTGTAAAATTTAAATTTTAAATTAAAAATATATATATAATCAATAGAGCTAAGAATATTATTTCATTTAGACAAATAGATATGGCATTTTTTTATCTATTTGTGTAAAGGAAATTTGTGTTGTTCATAAATAGATATGGCATTTTTCCTTTAAAAAAAATGCTTCAGACGTCCACACGTACAATAAAAATTACACAGGTACCCTATGTAAATTCATAATTCAGTTCAGTGCTTTTGCGAGAGAGAAAAAAATTTCAAAATGTATAAGTATGTAGTGTTCCCGCTCGGTAAAAACAAGATGTATCCAATTTCGAGAAAAAAATGTATCCAAAATCTATCCAACCTCTTAAAATAGCATTATTCGTCGTATGTATGGGTAATTATGGGTTAATTTGCACAAAATAGACTAAAAACTAAATACACTAGTGTACAAATTAACCCATAATTAATATTAATTTGCTTTATTCCACAATATGAGTTTTGTTATTTATAGTAAATTCTTTAAGAAATCACATACAACTTTTATTGCATTTTAAGTGTAAAAGTAAAGGTAAAAAAAACATATGTATATATTCTGTAGTTGTCGAACTATAAAATATGTACTGCCAATGCATTTTCTTCTACACCTAACTTATACTAAAATATTTCTGGTACGTTCTTATATAAATGTTCTAGATTTGAATACTAGAGGTAGTTAATAAAGTTTCTTTTTTGCTTTTTCCTAAAAAATTCTGAAGAGAATCCAACAATTAACACTTTTTAAAGATAAAGCAACTTCGCGACTTAATTTTAGCAGCATTTTAACTGTTTTGTAATCTTTATTTATTCTTTATTCTCTGAAATCCGTTTATATACACACTTAGTATACATGTAATAAAAACTATCGATAGTATTTTTATTAAGAAAAAATGTAGGTTTAAATGTAGGTTTAAATAATTTGGATAATTTTTATAACAAAACTATTGAAAGTTTTTGTTATGACGAAAGTATAGGAACTTGTACAATGGAAACTATCGATATTTTTTTAAATGAAGAAAGTATAGGAAAAAAACTTTGATAGTGAACTATCGATAGTTTTTGAAATGAAAAAGTATAGGAACTTCAACAATAAAAACTATCGATAATTTTTGTAAACAAAAAGATATAGGAATTTGTATAATGAAAACTATCGATATTTTTTGAATTGAGAGAATATAGGAGCTTTAACAATGAAAACTATCGATGTTTTACAATTAAGAATGTATAGGAACCTGTATAATGAAAACTATCAATAGTTTTTGGAATAAATGTAGGTAGTTATTTATATTTAAAAAACTATCGACAGTTTTAATACTACGAAAATGTGATCTCATACATTTTTTGTTCCTACATATAAAAATTTACAAAAATAATTAATTTTTATAAATTTTTTTATGTAGCAAAAAAAATGTATGAAATGTTGAGCCAAAACCATTGACAGTTCTTGAATAAATAAAGTATGGTCGTATGCATATTCATAAGCTGAACTGACAATAAATCAAATGAGAAACAGATTTAGAGGTGATAAAATTTTGACATATTTTAAAATAAAAGCTACTTGAACGTATTAAATAGCATTTAAAATATTTTTCAACGAATTTGAGTTTGTGATATTTTGTTTTTTTAGTTTAATTGAAATGTATAATAATTTTTAATTTTAAAATGACTAATAAATGAATATTTAAATTTTATTTTAATTTTTGTAGTTTTTTACAAATGTGATATGAAAAAGGCTAATAGCAAATATAAATGTTACATGTATACACTTTCAAATGAAAAAAATAATCTAATTATAAAATCATTGGAATAGTTGCGAAACTATTAAAACTATTAAAACTATTCGATAGTTGCGATCATTCATTTACTAACTATCGATAGTTCCCATCACTAGCATGTATTATGTTCGGTTTTTTGTTCAATCTAGTATATTTCATATTTTGCTTAAATAAAATTCTATCTACATAAAAAAGTGGAGAAAGTCTTGAAAAAAATATCGATACTTCTTATAAATTGCATATATTTGCAATACGGTATTTAAATTCTATTCCGAAATCAAACCCAATAGATACGCATATATATGCGTATAATTTCCATGCGCATAATTTCCACCGAAATTGATATCATGAGTTGTTGGAATGAAAAAAAAATGAATTTTTCATATTTGCATAATGCACATGCAGGAGTCAATTGCATACCGACCCTATTTAAACAGGCGTTTTCTCTAGCTGGATGTATAATAACGGAAAACGGTTAAGTATAACTCCAGATAAAATTAATTATTTGATGCTTATCCATTTAAATTTGAAAACAACTTAAGTAACACAATTCATTTTTAACATATTTTTTTAAATTAATTTTTATTATTTTTGTCATTAATGAATATGGATATAGTTTTTGTTATATGTATCATTAAAGGAATATACACTTTTTTACAACGTTTTGTTTATTTATTTTATGAAATGAAATTAAAAATATCTTGAAATATAAAAACAAAACACTTTTTTTTGTTCAAGGAAAATTGGAGAGTTTTTTTCAATTTATTTTTTTGTACTCCACTGAATTACCTTTATTTCCCTTACAACAGCAATGCAACGTTCAGTACTTTTAACAGTTTATGTATTAAAAAATATATACTACGTATATACATATACGTATTTTATACTACGTACATTATACTTTTTAATATTTTTATGTATATTTATATTATACATATAGTATATATAATATGAAGTATGTATATATGTATATTAACATACTAGTTATAATATGTAATGTAGATATATATATATATATTTATATATATATATATATATATATATATATATATATGTACATTACATATTTCCGTTATTGTACGAAAAGCAAAACAAATATGATCAAACATCTTAAATTTTTATAATATTACTCAATCATTTCAATTAAAGCTCTGATCAAATAGTTGTGATTGTATAATTATAATATACCGTGACTTCAATAATGCGCTCACGACGTAAATTTTACAAAGTATCAAGTTCCAAAAAGTTTAGTAAAAGCTCTTGACATTGTACACTTTTTCTAAATGCGTTTAATACATAGTGGAGACGTAATCGGGTATCGCAAAAATCGAGCACTCTTTTCTTATACGTTGTTACATAAATGTTACCAGAAATAACCGATAAAATAAACTAGCATATATTTTCAGCAATAAAGATCTTGGTTTCCATTTTTTTTATCAAAGTGCAGCATAAAAATGCTATGTTTTTAATGATGTGGTAACGTTTAATAAAAATGAACATTTGAACAGAACTTTAAATTAAAATTTTCAAACAAACGTCAAAGTTGTATTGATATGGAAAAATTGTATTCCAAAATATACGAAAAGCTTTAGTAGTTTTTTCTACAATGTGAAGGTATTGAAAGCTCTGAGACGGTACTACAACCGTACTAATACCGTACTTAAATCTTTTTTAAAGCATTATTAAAGTCACGGATACTATTTTTTTTCCCCGAAGTGCAGCGTTTATTGAAATCTTAAAAAATGAGCAGAACCTGAAAGGTTTTTTTTTAATGGATTTTTTAATGTTTCAATAAGACAAAACTTTAGCACTAGTAAAGTAGAAAAAGATTGAGTTTTAACTTTTTCTAATTAAAAATTGGAAAAAACCAGATCTTGTGGAAGATTTATGATGTTAAAAAGTCCTCTCTATAGATCTCATTAGGATAATTGCAAATTCCTCAGTTGTGAACCGTCACTCTCGCTTAAGATCAAGGTCTGTATTGCTGCCCGCCGTGGTGTGACTACTTTAAATTAGTTTAAATGTTTACCTTAAAAGGACTGTCGGAAATGATAAACACAAAAAATTTTAGAAAATGTTGCCAGTTTGAATTTTTTGCGATGCGATATCATTACAATTTGGTATCTTGTAATAAAAATACACTTGCGAATCGCAAATCAATTATACAAATTTCCGAGTTTTGAATTTTTATATAATAGGCCATCAGGCTTTTATTACTGTCAGCCGTGATAACAAATATGCCAAAGTCTAAGCCCAAAATGACGCGATATCCAGTAACAAAAATTTCGGCGTTTCTAGTTTGGTTTACTGAAATTAGTACGCGGGATATAATATGTCACATAAACATGCTTGGTGCTTGTGTGAAATGTCAAAAACACTGAAGGTGAGTTTTTGATATATCGCACGATTGGAATTGTAAGCTCTTTGTTTGAACCTTGTTCAGCTCATTTTAACATTTGCACAAATAGTATGTGTATGTACTTTCTTCTTTCACTATCTTTGGTCTAGCAAATAAGCAATTTAACGTCAACTTCAATTTTTTAAATTTTGGTGCAATCTTGGAAGATCGTCAAAGTAAAATCAAATCCAAGTCAACTTGAAAAATTTTTCAAGAACAAATTTTATGTAACCTATCAGCCTTAAGGAATGAAGATTCATTATTTACATTTTTACAAAAAAAAAATAAAGTATGTATATGTATAAGTTTTATAGTGCTCTATTTTATTTTTAAAAATAGTGACATTTCATATTTCTTTTCTATTACTAAATGCAAAACAAAAGTAGATTCTACAAAATAGACGTTCTTGGTTCACTATAATTGAAAAACTGATTTTATTCTATTAATGTGATATCCCTGTTGTCTGATTAAATACTGGTGTGTGTTTATAATGGGTAGCAGTTAATATTAGTACTACTTAAAAATTTTTAAATATATATAGAACTATTTAGCGGAAATTTGACAAATGGAACAATTGTATCATCAAACAAATGGAATTATTCAAGAGCTTCAACACAGCTTTCAACTGCTGCCAAGCTCGCAAAAGAGCAATGAAGTTGAGAATGAAATTATACAAAAAATCAATACAGTTGATTCGTAAAAATTCAAAATTTTATATAGAAATGTAAAATAAGTCTTCCATTTTTTAGTTATTGTGTTCAGTTGGATGCATTAGTGTTCAAAGTTCCAGCTTCACAAAGAGCACAAGCTAAAATGAGGGTGGATCAGTTGAAATACGATGTTAGACACTTAACTGTAAGTGAAAAATATTTGCCAAATATGAATATTTTTATTTAATATAAGAATAAGAAAATACATCAGAAACGTAGGTACACTACATCAAAAAATTGTACATATAGCAATTTTTTTAGAAAAATTGATTTTTTTTAAAAAAATTTTTAACTTCAATTTCAGAAAATAAATACATAAGAAAACTTAATAATTATTTAAAAGTAAATTTGAAAAAATTGTAACATTTTAAAATTTTTTTAAAATTTAATAAAAACATAGTCAAAAAATTGTACATTCACCAAAAAATGGCACATACAGATGAAAAACAAAAACCAACATTGTAGAACCGTTAGTTTCATGCGCCAAATGAGCGACTAAACAATTTGTATGTCTTCTAAGATTCAAAAATATACTGAATTTTTAAAAATTTTTAACCATGGCACGGTATAGTATATGATAACACATCATTTTAGAATATTAAAATAATTTGCTTTAAAATAAATAGTAACCGATTAAAAGTTCCTATAGATGTAGGAAAACTAGTTGTAAACCTGAAAAAGCAAGGCAAAAGTTATGCTGAAATTGCAGAAATCGTCGAAAGACCAAGAGCTACCGTGCAAAGCTTTATAAAAAACTGTAAGACAAACATTTCTTTTGAAGTATCTCCTGGTAGAGGTCGCAAAGCTATACTTTAAGAACATGCAAAGCTAAAAATTGAAAAAATTTTGAAAGTTGATCCAAAAACTAGTGCTCCTAGGATAATAGCTTGTCACCTAAACATGTCTGTAAATCCTCAAACTGTACGTAATTTCCTCTACGATAAAGGTTTTAAAGGTTGTGTTTCACTCAAGAGAATTATTATCTAAAACGAATGTTGAAAAACGTTTAGAGTATGCTAAACAATTTGTTTCACAGCCTGATTCTTTTTGGGAGTCAGTAATATTTATTGACGAGTCCAAATTTAACATTTTCGGGTCTGATGGCCGATGATTCGTTTCGTGTAAAGTCAATACCCTTTTTGAAAAAAAAACTTTAACTCCCAATATCAAACATGGACGCGAAAACGTTATGGTTTGGGGGGCATTTGGAGCAAATGGTGTAGGAGAGCTAGTATTTGTGGTGTCAACTATGGAAAAGATGGGATAGATGAATATTTTGAAAAAAATTTGATCAAAAACGCTAGGAAAATCGAAATTGCTGGTGGTTTTATGCTTGTTCATGATAATGATCCAAAGCATTCGTCATATATTGTTAGAAACTGGCTTCTTTACAACGTGAAACGGGTTTTGCCACATCCTCCGCAATCTCCCGACCACAATCCAAATGAGCATGCTTGGGATATGTTGGATAAACGATTACGGCAACATCCAATTACTGGTATTGCAAGCCTAAAGTGCAAAATAACCGAAGAATTGAACAAATTTCATTTGGAGATACAAAAAAGTTGGCGTTATCAATGAAAAATAGATTATCAGCAGTTATAAAAAGTAAAGGAAACCGCACTTTTTATTAATTTTATTTTATTTTCATAATATTTGCAATGTATGTGCAATATTTTTACCTAATCATTGGTGCAGTGGCTATGGCACCGGCGTTTTAACCGTAGGGTCTCAATAAAAATTATATTCAATATTATATAACTTAATGTGCAATACTTATTAGTATTATACAAGTAATTTTCAAATATTCATAATATTCGATACTAATAAAGACTAAGAAAAATCAACAGTAAATAACTGAAATATTTAATATAAATAAAAACTACGGTAGGCTAGTCACCAACATAGCTAACTCTCTATGACTATAGAAACTAGGGCATGATAGATATGCACTAGCCCTTCACTCCTAGGAGTGAAGAAGGAAAAAAAAAAATGTGCAATTTTTTGGTGTATCTACAATTTTTTGACTATGTTTTTATTAAATTTTAAAAAATTGAAAAATGTTACAATTTTTTCAAATTTACTTTTTAGTAATTATTAAGTTTTCTTATTTATTTTCTGAAATTGAAGTTCAAAAAATTCTTTTTTTGTTAAAAAAATATCAATTTTTCTAAAAAAATTTTGCTATACATATGTACAATTTTTTGATGTAGTGTATGTACATTTCTGATGTAACGTTTGTGTCTTCGTTGACTTAATAATATTAGATGTGCAATATTAGTTTTATTGAAATATTTTAATAACATACATTTTGTAGGTATGTATGTTCGAGGCAGGGTTTTACACCTATTTAAATGGTTTTTTGTTTTAATTTTGAAAGAACAAAATTAATTCATTTTTAAAACTTAAATTTCCAATTTTTTTTAGAAAAAAGATTAATGTGTGTTTTTTATTGAAATACTGCGAGCACGTTTCAAATTTTCTATTGCATGTAAGAAGTTTTAAACTATTTAAATTGGCTTGTTAGTTCCTTCATTTGTAAATTAACAAAATTAAAAAATATTTTTTTTTGCTACCGAAATCATTTTTATTTTAATATAAAATGTCTTAAATGCATTTTAATATTAAAAATTAAGTTTTGTACCTGTAAGGAACACGCAACAGTATTCATATTTTACGTATTATAGTTCTATATAGAAAGGCAAATATCTTATGATTCTTTCAGAATTTAGAAGTAATGAAATTTGGTAACGAAATCATTTTTAGTTTCAGTAGATTTGTAAGTTTACCTGAAATAAATTTGCACTTTTTTCTAAAATTTTCGAAATTGACTAAAAACTGAAAAATTGTGGAATCGACTTTATTTCCAGAAAGAAGTTGGTATTTTAGCTAATTGAAATAACATATTGGCTTAAATTGGGTAATGCGTCTGAAATATTAATTTTTGTGGAAACGTCAAAATTGAAATACGATTTTATTTCCAAATGTCGGAAAAGTGAGTTTTGAGTTCTAGTTTAGTATTTTTTTCATATCGAATTTATTTCTAGTTACTTGTTTTTGAAATAAAGTTGATTTGACTTTGTTTCAATGAACTTATTACAAGTATTAATAATTAGATTTATTGATAAATTTAATGTGTCCGTTCAATCATGTTTAGGAACTATTTACTGAAATTTTAATTGAACACTTAGCAAATTTGAATCTTTTTTTTTTTGAAAATTTGGAACGAATGTTCATCATGTTTTGTCATCTAAGACTAGGTTCCTTTTATTTTTAGAATATTCATAGGAAATTACACTACAATCCGATTCAAGAGTTAAATCTTTAGAAGGTGATTCTTTGGAGTGTTTAGGAAAAAATTGTATCACGCGACAAAAATTGTATACAAAAAAGTTTGTATAAACAATATACAATCGACAACAAAAATTGTATAAAAAACTATATATTTTTCTTAGATAGATAGGTATACAACAACATATACCATTGGTTAAGTGGTCAAAAGTTGGGGGTAAAACGTTTGTTACGCTGTGGGTTCAATCTCAATTGTCTCCGAGCTAAAGGGGTTTAAAGAACTTTCACGAAATATCTATTTTTCCAAGTACTTTTTTCCGTTTCAGAAAAAAAGGGCTTCAAACAAACTGCTTTTGAAGAGCTAATAAAAGGTTTAAAATTAACACAATACTCTTTGTATTTTACTTACTTTCAGAAACAACTATTCGAATTTTAGGAAAGTTCCAACTTTTTCCATTGTTTTTGAAATTTTAAAATTTTTTAAGGAATTTTGTGCAGGCTCTTAAGTTTTAAGTTGAAAATATCAAGTGTTACGAAAATTTTTATGGCCTTGGAAATATAGCAAAAACAACATTTGTATTTTAAGATTTTAAAGGCCTCAATAAAATGCATAAACTAGAAAAAATTACAATTTCTGCTTTTTGAAACTTAAGGTACTTTCATTCTTAATTGCTATTGATTTTTGATCGAAATAGTCATTCTAAAAAGCAGTTGATTATTTCAAGAATCATTATTTTGATAAAAAACTGAATTTTAAGATGTTTAAACAAGTTTATAAAAGTTGTTATGGAGCTGCCAATATACAACGAGATAATACGCTAAGCTTCAAGTTTCTTCATAATTTTTAAAAATTCCTTCAACATTCAAAGCAGGCTCCATCAAAATAGATCCATCTGGTGAGAAGCGCCTCCCATAAATTTTCATTAATATTTCATATCAAAATATTATTTTTGCCGATGAAATTTCTTTTATTTTTTAGTTACTATATTATTTAAACTAAGAGAAAAACGGCATAATTTTTTGAAGAAAATAGTAATGCCATATATGTATGTATATATCTATGGCGTTACTAAAATTTTGAATCGAAAAAAAATACAAAAACAATTCTTAATGTTTTATGCTTTCGAAGTATGCCGATTGAAATATTTTTTGTGAAATTTTTAGGTTTTTATGAATTTCATTTTAAGTATAGTTTTATAAGCCATCTAGATTATAATTATTATTTTTTTGCTTTTGAATTTATTTTTAAATTCTATTTTTTATTCAAAAATTTTATTCTGTAATTCAGTACCCTTCCATTTGGAAGACAAGAAAGAGAAAGAGAGACAAGTCCTCCTCCCCTCACCATTACATACACCTAGCAACCTCGCTAACAAACCCAGGTTTGGCTTGCCCGGCTGATAGCATCTTGTAAGGGCTCCTCGCGAGGATCACACGTACATTAAAATGCAATGGAAAAAACACTGGGACTTTATTCCCCAGGGGGTATGTCATGTAATACGGTAAATCCACCATCTGCGGAGGTCGGCCCCACCGGATTCTTTTGGGGGTCAACTATTGCCAATTAATGCAACTCCAACGTCGGTAGGTGCTACAGTAACGGCATAAACTGCGGCAGATAAAACTGAAAACATGTATTTTAGAAGTACATTAACCAAACGTATTCCACCTGGAACTATTAGTTCACCTTCCGTAATTCACACTAATTGAAAATATAAGCAACTTTCCCACGACATCTGGAACTAGCACCACCGTAGAAAATATACCTACTGAAAATGTACCAACTGGTGTCTATGGAGGTAAAGAAACAAGTAAACAACATCCGCCGCCTCCAATAAACATTGTGGGGATAGA